GGGTTTCACCGTGTTAGCCAGGATGGTGTCGATCTCCTGACCTTGTGACCAGCCCGCCTTGGCCTCCCAAAGTGCTGGGATTACAGGCGTGAGCCACCACGCCCGGCCTACCATGTTATTTTTTAAGTTGATTTTTGTGTGTGCTTGTGTACGTTTGTGCATGTCTGTGTACGTTTGTGCATGTCTGTGTATTGCTATAAATGGCATGTGGTATTTTCTATTATGTATTTCATCTTATTATTTAGATAGATAGAGCTTTGCTTGCTGAATTTAATGGAAGACTTGTGCAATTCCATAAAGCATGATACTTGATTTTGGTTTGTGCATTCTGAAACCTGAAAAATATATTTGAAAATATCCTCAGGTCATTAACTGCCAGGTCATTCCTTTTATTGGCATGAGTAGACAATCAAGAGTGACTGTATATCTGTATTATCAATAGTGATTCTTGGCCGGGTGTGGTGGCTCATGCCTGTAATCCTAGCACTTTTTTTTGGGAGGCTGAGGCAGGCAGATTGCCTGAGCTCACGAGGTCGAGACCAGTCTGGGCAACACCGTGAAACCCTGTCTCTACTAAAATACAAAAAATTAGCTGGGCGTGAGTGAAAAATTACTCACAGAAAGTAATTCTTTTTTTTTTTTTTTTTGAGATGGAGTTTCGCACTTGTTGCCCAGGCTGGAGTGCAATGGCACGATCTCAGCTTACCGCAACCTCCGCCTCCTGGGTTCAGGAGATTCTTCTGCCTCAGCCTCCCGAGTAGCTGGGATTACAGGTATGCGCCACCATGCCCAGCTAATTTTGTATTTTTAGTAGAGATGGGGTTCCTCCATGTTGGTCAGGCTAGTCTCGAACTCGTGACCTCAGGTGATCCGCCTGCCTTGGCCTCCCAAGGTGCTGGGATTACAGGTATGAGCCACTGCGCCTGGCCAATAGTAATTCTTTTTAAAAAATTCCTTTAAACTAACTTATTTATACTTATATTTATTCATATAAACTTCAGTAACTACACACGTGCAGTCTCTTTTTTTTGTTTGGTTTCTGAACTCCCTTCTTTTTTTTTGTTTTAACACTTTTTTTTTTTTGGTGCACATTCTCTTGTAGACCCCAGAGGAATATGTTTGGGAGTTAAATTTTTTGATACCCTGCATATCTGAAAATTATCTAGACTCCACACTTAATTGGGCATTGAATTCTACTTGAGACATAATTTTTCTTCAGCATTTTGAATAATTTTCCCATTATCTTGCTTCCAGTGTTGCTGTGGAAGGTTTGTTGTAATTCTGATCTTAATCATCTGTAAGTGGTCAGGATTCTTCCCCCTCTAGAAATTTGAGAGGCATCTTTTTATCCTTATGATAGGTTTTTTAAAAATTAAAAAGTTTTTTTCCTCATTGCCAGCAGAAACATAGAAAGACTGAAAAAAATTTTTTTTGGGCTGGGCGTGGTGACTCATGCCTGTAATCCCAGCACTTTGGGAAGCCGAGGCAGTTGGATTACCTGAGGTCAGGAGTTCGAGACCAGCCTGACCAATACACTGAAACCCCATCTTTACTAAAAATACAAAAAACATTAGCCGGGTGTGGTGGCACATACCTGTAATCCCAGCTACTCAGGAGGCTAAGGCAGGAGAATTGCTTGACCCTGGGAGACAGAGGTTGCGGTGAGCCAAGATTGTGCCACTGCACTCCAGCCTGAGCAACAGAGCGAGACTCCATCTCAAAAAATAAAATAAAATAAAAAATAAATAAATAAATTTCTTTCATCCATTGTTCTAGGTACTCAGGTCCCCTCCCTGCTTTGTGTGTGTGTGTGTGTGTGTGTGTGTGT